AAAAGGCAAAAAAGAAAAAGAGAAAGTCCTTTTTTTTAAAAAAAAAAATTACAAACTCAAACTGCGCAATCACATGATCAGGAGGATGGAGGCCACCGGGGAACATGCGTAGGAAAAAAAAAAAAATGTGTCCATTGCTTTTATACAAGGTCATGTTTGATTGAAAGTTTAAACAGAAAAAATTAAATTAGCAACATGTGAATCCTAAATTAAAACCATATTTATTTGTAGAGAAACAGTATAAAATTGTTAATTTCATGAGACTATTAATCTTTTTTCATGGTGTATTCCGATGGGTGAGTTGAAATTACTAGTCTAATGCCATATATTGGTGGCTAAAAAACCATTTCCCGTTCATTTTATAAAATCAACAGAAGTTTTTATATAATTTAAATATTTAATTCTAATTAACTAATATCTCCAACTTAATATTACAACATTAATAATCTCATTATTCAGGGATGTTTTGAAAAGTTAGTAAAAAATTGACTTTTAACTTTTTGGTTTAATATTTATTTATGGTATCTAATCAAATTAAAATGATCAAAATACCCTTATTCAACATTTATTTTTTACTTTTTCACTTTTTTGTCATAGGCCTCAATTTGTAATTTCAACACTTGCGTTTTTTGGTTTTCCAAATGAATTTTGTAACGTTTTTGGCCGGAAGCTTTTTTTTTTCCCTGGATAAAAAATGTGGCGTTTTGCCAATAAAAAAGCTCATAAACCAACTTGCCAAACGGAGGCTAAGTGGTCAATGAACCATCAGCTGTTATTAGGGAATTCCTAGTAGCATACATGATTGGCATGTCTTGTGAAAGGGCCTAGGCCTGTGTTTTCTTTTTATTTCCGTTGTATCTAAAAAAAAAAACGAAACTCCAACTTTAACTCGAAATTTATCTCTCTACTTGCTACCATACATTTTTATTGCTTTTATATAATTTGACTAGAACTGCAAACGAGCCGAATCAAACCGAACTTTAGTATGTTAGACCTTATTGATTAAGATTTTAACGAATTCGAGCTCGAACTCAAACTCAATAAAAATTTAACGAACCGAACCTAAGCCGAGTTGGTTTAGGCTTAACTCGAGCTCGAGTTTGTTCACGAGCTTTAATGAGCCAAAAAAATTATAAATTCATACTTGCGTATAAGACTAAAGTTACAATCGAAAATTTGATTATACAGTTATATACAATATATATATCTATATAAGTACACAAAAGAAAAAGTCAATATCTTATCAAAATAATAATATCTATCACCATTATTATATATATATATATATAATTTTAGTTATTATTTATATTTGTATTATTTAAATTTATAAATAACATATTCATCCTATTGTTTATACATTATTCTATTATTTAAATATATATTAAACGAGCCGAGTAATATATTTGAATTATTTATTAAAATTTTAACGAATTCGAGTTTAAAATCGAACATAATAAAAATTTAATGAATTGAATTCAAACGAATCTTTACCGGGTCAAGTTCAAATCGGTTCACAAATGACTTTGTTTATTTACCGCTTTAAATTTGACCTCATCAAAATCAATCTATGAAGCCAAGAATTCACCAGCAGATAAAGTTTTGATTTTTATTATAAAAGTCCAAAATTAATTTTATGACGTGTATGTATGACTAGAATACAGAATGAATATAATGTTCATGTTTATTATTTTTTGGCCTAAGGACAATAATATCAAGTTAAGAGAAGTAAACATAGACAATAATGGCCTTTTTGAGAAGTTGACTATTTAATTTTTTAATTATTTTAACTTGACTAAAATATTTGTATTTGAAAAGTTGGTTAACATTTTTTCTAGTTAATTTGATGATTGTGAAAGAAAAATTAAAATAATTATAAATTAGATACGATATTTTGTCTTATTGACTATTTTAACTTATTTTATATTTTAGTAAATCATTTTAACCCACCTCTTCTTCTCAAACACCCCCAATATGAGAGATTTTCAGAGAGTCTAGTTAAAAAGCGGGTAAAATAGTTTATAAAATTATTTTCTTGTCAAAACATGGACTTCTTGAGGTAAAAACATCAATTGAATTACAGATTTAAAACTAAAACTTTTCTTATCAAATTTCCCTAATTTTATCATCAACACAAATAGTTTTTGTCAATTTATCTAACATATTTGGAGAGTAGGAGATACTGAAAATTGATTAAAAGTATTTGACCGCAATTAAAAAAAGAAAAATTGACCCCCCCCCCCCCAAAAAAAAAGAACCATCCCTCCGAATTTACTATTGGTTTTGAATTAAAAAAAAAAAGACAAAAAGAAAAAGGGAAAGTACTTTTTTTTTTTAAAAAAAATTACAAACTCAAACTGCGCAATCACATGATCAGGGGGATGGAGGCCACCGGGGAACATGCGCAGGAAAAAAAAAAAATGTGTCCATTGCCTTCATGTAAGGTCATGTTTGATTGAAAGTTTAAACAGAAAAAAATCAATTAGCAACATGTGTGAATCCTAAATTAAAACCATATTTATTTGTAGAGAAACAGTATAAAATTGTTAATTTCATGAGACTATTAATCTTTTTTCATGGTGTATTCCGATGGGTGAGTTGAAATTACTAGTCCAATGCCATAGATTGGTGGCTAAAAAACCATTTTCCGTTCATTCTATAAAATTAACAAAGGCTTTTATATAATTTAAATATTTAATTTTAATTAACTAATATCTCCAACTTAATATTACAACATTAATAATCTCATTACTCAGGGTGTTTTGAAAAGTTGGTAAAAAGTTGACTTTTAACTTTTTGGTTTAATATTTATTTATGGTGTCTAATCAAATTAAAATGATCAAAATACCTTTACCCAACATTTATTTTTTACTTTTTCACTTTTTTGTCATAGGTCTCAATTTGTAATTTCAACACTTGCATTTTTTGGTTTTCCAAATGAATTTTGTAGCGTTTTTGGCCGGAAGTTTTTTTTCCCATGGATCAAAAATGTGGCGTTTTGCCAATCTTCCCAAAACGGCACTCAATCATTCCATACTTATAATATCATTCAATTATGAGTTGTTTAGAATTTCTTAACCTTTTACAAAAAGTCACATAAAAAATAAAAAAAAATAATGTGATTCAAAAAAATAATTAAAATAAAAAATGAGAGCAAAATATGGTCGTCTAATCACATGACTCAGGTTGTAAAAAGTTTAACAAACGTATAAATTTTCTCATAAAGTGAATAACACTTTTTTATAAATTGCACGTCTATGTAAAGATGTGTCGAGTCTCTTTAAGACTTTTCCTTTGGCAAATTTTATGAGCTGACTAATAAATTCATTTAGGGATTGTTGGTAATAATTTAAATAAATATATTTTTTTATTTTTTTATAAAAAAAAATATATAAAAAAGTAAAGATGTAATATGATAAAAAAAAAAAGATGAATTATATAAGAAATGTCAAACCACTCTTTAGTTTAATGATCAAATTCAATCGTCTTTTTTTTTAATCAATAAGGCTCCTCTTGAAAAATGAGTTATAATCTATCTAATTCTCAGATTATAACTCACTTACCCTCTCACAAAAAAATTACTTATAAATAACTTTTAACCAAAAAATTAATTATAACTATTTTCCAAAATAACCCATCTCACTCAACTGGAAGAGCCTTGGTTGATAAAATTAAGTTGTTTAGCATGTTTATTTCGCGCTAAAAACAGAAGTGTAGTCACTTATAAAAGCCAACAAAAAAGTGGAAAAAATACCAAACAAATTAACCTATGTAAGCAACAGCTTATTCATAGACTATTTTAAGCTAAAAATTTAGCTTTACAGCTAAAACAAAAGGAAGGCTAACAGATTTCAAAACAAATAGAAGAAGTTGCACCTAGGCTTTTGTTGGTACAATTTATTTCAATAACTTAAACCGTCATTTTATAACATATTATTCATAAAAAATATTAAGTTAATTCAATAATCATAACATATTTATTTTATTGTTTCGACTTCAAAAAGAATGAAAGTTGTGTTTTAAAAACATATTCATGATTCAAATTTTCAAAATCTAATTTTAAAAACATATTTATGATACATTTTTTAAAAAACATATAAAAATCTTAAAAAATAAATAATTCAAATCATTAAAATAAAACTCAAGTGAGCTGTCCCAATGGGAGAGACCTATCAAGTTTTTTTCAATTTCAAAAATAAAACCCAATTTAACACCCATACCAACCAAGACATGCACGCAAGAATTCCCTTTTCTCAAATCAATCATATCTCAAAATACTCATTGAGCATATTACTATTTAAAATTTGAGACATAACTAAATAATTAAAAATATAAATTGAGCCAGAAGACACGGAAACATAGTCCAACAAAATTAATACTAATATGAAATACCAATACAGTAAAATTCTCATAAAATTAAAGGTTCTAACGATATCATTATCTATCATATAAGCCAAGTAATAAAGCTTAGTAAATCACAAATAACAGTCCCAAATCAAGCACTAATACAGTATATCATATCATAGAAAGCAAATAAATAAAGCTAAAGGGAGAGGGAGGGAGGGAGGGAGGGAGAGAGAGAGAGACTAATGGTGAGGACAGAATGTGACCAAGTAATTGCCACCACTGCAAGTAGCAATACTAGTTGGATCATCATAAGCATAAGAATAAGCCCTAGGACAAGCCGCCTTAAAAATCTTCGAATAAGCCGTCGGCTTACACGACTGAGGACTCCCAAAGCTTCCCGTACAGCAATACCTCGGCGAGTTAAACGCTGAGCACGCGCTCTTACACGCCACCACGCGCTTCTTATCGTGCGACCTCACTTGAAGTCCCACCGGGCACATCATATTCAAGTCGCTCACGCACCCAGCCGAGCTGCATTTCCCGGAGCCTTTAAACGGCGTGATTGAGATAGCCAGATTGTAGCCGTCGACTAGGCTGACGTCATAGAAGTCTTGTTCGGCGCCGAGGGTGATTTCGGCTAGGGTGGCGGGAGGGGAGCCGCCGAGGCCGTTGCAGAAGAGGGCGCCGCCGCAGTCGCCGGTGGCGCAGCGGCCGCGGAAGGTGGCGGGGTTGAAGGAGCAGCCGTGGCGGCCCCAGATGCGGCCGGACCAGGTGGCTGGGAGCCGGAGGGGATAGAATTTGTTGGGGGGGAGCTTGAAGCCGCCGCGTGCGATGATGGGTTGTCCGGCGCTGGTTTGGAATCTGGGCCAGACTGGGTGGGTGCACTTGTTGTAGAGTGTTATGGTTGTTGCTGAAACATCGACTGCCAAAAAACACATTACACAAATTAATCTAAAAAAAAAAAAATACTATACAAATTTGTAAAGGACGAGCCACATTGTGGGTGTTTGGTTGGATTATACCAGCAAATTATATCTAATTTTAATTTAAGAGTTCGTATTAAACTGTTTGGTTCAGTTTTATTAGGTAAAAATTAATTTTTCAAAAATAGAAGACAAGTGGTTTTAACTTTTATTTTTTTTTATTACTTTTAACTTAAAATAACCTTTATCGTTCAGGAATAGGCTATCTTAATAATTTTTTAATTTTTTATAAAAAAAAATATGCAAAAAAAAATAAAGAAAACTCTTCAATTATTAACCAATATGAGTTAACCTCTTGTAAACACTTCTGTTCAACGGTTATGTATTCCTGATATTTTAATAATAGGGTAAATTACATATACACCCCTCGAGGTTTGGCTAAATTACAGATACCCCTGAGGTTTGAAAAATTACGAATTCCCCCCTGAATGTTATATTTGCATAAGAAATTAGGGGGTAATTTGTTATGAAATATAAACCTCAGGGGGTACATTGTTATGAAAATACAAACCTCAGGGGGCGGAATGTAATTTCTGAAACCTCAGGGGTATCTGTAATTTAACCAAACCTCAAGGGGTGTATATGTAATTTGCCCTTTATAATATTATAATTAATAGATAAAGTGAATAATGAAATATTATATTAAGTGATTAGACAATATAAAAAAATCATATTAAATAATAGGGCAAATTACATATACACCCCTCGAGGTTTGGTTAAATTACAGATACCCCCCTGAAGTTTCAGAAATTACATCCCGCCCCCTGAGGTTTGTATTTTCATAACAATTTACCCCCTGAGGTTTATATTTCATAACAAATTACCCCCTAATTTCTTATGCAAATATAGCATTCAGGGGGGAATTCGTAATTTCTCAAACCTCAGGGGGGTATTTGTAATTTAGTCAAACCTCGAGGGGTGTATATGTAATTTGCCCTAAATAATAATTGATTACAGAGAGTGCAGACGCATTTTCGGAAATATTTAATAATTTGCCCACTTCAACGGTGTTTAGATCATGTATCTGGACAAAAGTTTAAAAAGTGAAACAGAAAAAAGAAAAGAAATGATACAATTTTATTCGTATTTTCCTATTTTTTTTATAAAAAATTTCTAACAAAATCCATGATCTCAACACAAGAAGCTTTAGGAATATTGGGTAGGAATTTATAAAGACAAAAACAAATATATATATATATAATTATATTTCACCTATTTTCTATTTTTATTTTCAAATTCATACTCGCAATCTACTTTCTGTCTCTCTTTTTAAAAGTTTGATTGGGGGACGAAGATCAAAAGCAAAATTATCAATTTGTGTTATCATTAGCTTCCCATAACTTTCTAGTACACTGTAATTTGAAAGTCACAAATAAATAGACAGTTAACGGCCTATATGATAAAAATTAATAGCTTTCTAGTACACTATAATTTGAAAGTCACAGAAATAAATAGACAGTTAACGGCCTATCTGATAAAAATTAATTTGTGCTCGTTAATACAATGGGTACATATCTGTCTAATACCATCAGCTATACTACCATCGGTTATACTGACTAAACCGGGGTTGTTAACACTCAAAACCTTACTTCTTTATTTTTATCAATTTTTTCAAAATTTTCTAGAATTTGTTTTAAAATGGGTGGGTGGGTGAGTGGGTGGGGAATCATCTCTTACCCTTTCCAAACTTTCATAAAATTTGAGTACAAAGCAGTTGAGAATTTAGTGAAGAATCTTTGATTTTATGAAGAATTTGTTTTAACCCGAGGGGGTGTATACAAAGCAGTTGAGAATTTAGTGAAGAGTCTTTTGATTTTATGAAAATTTTGACTTTAGCTCGCTTTGATACAAGTTTTAAAAAAATGAATAACCACACCTTTTAGAACTTTATTTCAAATTTACAAATAACTTTACGCTATGTTTAGGTAGGCTATGTTTAGTTACAAGATTTAAGAAGGAAAAATTATTAGAGATCTTAAAAATTTTATCAAATGTATCAAATATCCAGCCTACACCATACGGATCATATGTGAGTTCCCCGTGAAACCTTTGATGGAATTTTTAGACTCTCTACCATTACATTCTAGGAAGGAATGTGAAATAAATAAATAAATAAATAAAATGTAAATAAAATATACCAATATTTCACATAATTTCACACATTTTTTTTCTTATTCTTTCTAAATCTCTTTCCAAATTTTATAACCAAATTCAGCGTTAGAAAAGTATATATATATATTTAATTGAAGGTATGAAAATGTACATCATAGGGGGATAAAATAATAATTAGCAACAATCAAAGGGATTTTGTTGTAATTAATCGTTCATTTATCTGTATATGTAACCACATGAGAGAGAAGCTCAGTTATGGAGATCACAATTAAGAAGACAAGTAAAAAAACCCACATGAGAGTGTTATGGTTGGTTGCAGAAACATCTATTCTCACCAACACAATGAAAAACTAAACAAAACACACACATTGTTAGAAATGCTTGACATTGAACACATTTGAGCTTGAGGGTTTGTGTATGTATGTGTATTTATGTTTGTATATGCATCAGAGAGAGAAACTAGGTAGATTAGCCCAGATCAAGGAAAGAACTTGAGACTAGAAACCACCACCTTACCAAAGTGCAGGAGAGAGAGAGAGAGAGAGAGAGTACCTGAAATGTAGGTAACGAAGAGAGTGAAGGACATGATGAAGATGAAGAGATGTCTCAGGTGTGATTCCATGGCTGAAGATGAAAGAAGCCGAGAAGGATAGAAAGATGGTTTATGAGTCCAACAACAGAGAAAGACTGTCTTCCCTCTTCTCTCTGTTTTCACTCTGCCAAACCTCTTATGATTTTATAGAAAAGAGTGCGAGTAAAGTTAGGCATTGTTTGGCATAAAAAAATTTGGATTAAAATAGTCAAAAACAAATATATATATATATATATATCAATAAGATAAAATATGAATTATAATTATTTTATTTTTTTATAAAAATTAAAAAAATTATTTTAAAAAAAACTTTTAACCTCAAATTAAAATAATCAAAAAAATCAACCCACACCACTTCTTGTGATGCGTGATTTGATGAGAAAAATTTATATCACCGTGTTTTGTGATGCGTGATTTGATGAGAATTTTAGAGACTCACAATCCTCTTTGAATTATTGATGTAGGTCCCGTTTAATATAACTGTTAAAACAGTTTATAAATTATAACTTAATAGATTATAAATTATGATTTTAATCGGAAGTTATTAATCTATTTAGTGTAACTGTTAAATTATAAATTTAAGTTGTTGAGTAGTGTTTGTTAACTAAACTGTGAAATAAGTTTTTCAATTAATTTTTATTTTTTGTTTGTCTATATTTCTCATAAAAAATAATAATAATAATCTATAGTCTATTTAAGTTTTTTTCTATTTTTAAAAAAATAAAAAATAAAAAAATCTAAGAGTATAACTATAAATTAACATGTCCACAGCAGAAGCTGATAATCAGAATCAAGGGGTGAGCAGCTTCTTAGAATCAACTTTTTTGACTTAAAATAAGTTGTTAAAATCAGAAGCTGTTTGAAATAAGTTTAACCAAACAGTCCAAAATAACTTTTTAAAAGCCAGAAGTCATAAGTTGGCTCAAAAAAGCCCCACCAAACACCCCCGTGGGGCTCACTTATATATGTGTAGAGTGCACACCATCAATGATGAAAATTCAAAAGAAGTTGTGGGGTTCTCAAAAAATAGGAGTCTCAATCATTGTTGTTCTCAAAAATATACATCACCGTGTTTGATTTCAATTTTTTCAAATTCAATTTTTTTAAATTGAGTTTTTTTATTTTTTTGGTTTTTTTTATTTTTAATAATTATTTTTTAAAATTTTAAGTATTTTTTACTTTTTTAAATGCTCCTTACGTAGATATATCTAAAAAATAAAATATTTGTAAAAAAATATTTTAAAAATTAATAAATACATAAAAATACGAAAAATATACTGAATTTTCATTTTTTTTTATATATTTTTGATATTTAGTGAATTTTTTAAAGATTTTTTTCATGAAAATTATACTTTTAAGTGTGTTTATGTTAGGTGTATCTAAAAATTTAAAATATATATTTAAAAAATTCAGTAAAAAAAAACCAAGAAAATATAATTTTTTTAAAAAAGTTTCAAAAAACTGGAAACAAACATATTTTTTTGAGTAATGTTAGAGATTTCAAAAAATTTACTAAAATTTTTACCAAATGTCTCGTATGGGTGTGGGATCCATAGTGTATATTCTTTTGAGTAATGTTAGAGATTTCAAAAAATTTACTAAAATTTTTACTAAATATCTCACATGGGTGTGGGACCTACACCACATGGGTGTATGACCCACACCAATGTGAGACATTTGGTAAAAAATTTAATAGAATTTTTGATATCTTCAGTATTTTTTTTTTTTTGGTCAAAATTATAGAATGTAATTAATTGTTAGCAAAAAGTTATATTACAAATTAGGCCTCGTTTGGTAACCGCATATTTTAATATTTTTTGACTTTTTACGAAAAGATTTACAAAAAAAATAAGAAAAATGATGTGACAACTAATAATATTTTACGAAAAGATTTACAAAAAAAATAAGAAAAATGATGTGACAACTAATAATAATTTTTTTACTAAAACTGAAAGTTGCCAAATGAAACCTTAAAGGTTCATCCTTGTTCTATCAATATGAACTAGGGGTGAGCAACGGATATTCCGATGCATCTAAACCGATCTAACTGAACCGATTCGTCGCATTTTGGACGGATGCGTGATGACAAGCAGACGGTTGCGAATTGATTTTTTTCAATCCATTTAATTTTGGATGGACGGTGGATTTGATATTCCTTTGGCCGCAGCCAAACTGTCAAACCGCAACCATCCCTAATAATTTGTAAGATTTTGTGTTTTTAATTTATTTAGATATTCTATTTGTATTTTCAATTAAAAATGAGTTTAAATATTCTGTTGTGTTTTTAATTTGTTTTCAATTTGAAAATTCTTTTATCAAATGGTAAGTGTTGATATTTTGTATTTTTTTGTAAAAAATATAAGGCTTAATTTTGTCATTTAAAAAAATCGAATTAAATAGTTTTTGAATAAAAAATAATAATGAAATAGTTTTGATAATACATGATTTTCTTATATGTATTTATTATTGATATTTGATAATTTACTTGATAATCTTTTAGTTATGTTGAGTTGAATTGTTAACCAAAAAAATTATTGACAAGTTGTTATATTATATTCAAAATTTGTAAAAATTTAAACCGCCACACCAATTTGCATCAATCCGCAATCCACCAATCTGTTCAATCCTCATCCGTCAATCCAGCGGATGGATGCAGATTGTTTTTTTTCAATTCTCCAATCCGATGGACGAATAGTGGATTAAAAATTCTTCGACCATAACTTATCCACGAACACTCCTAATTTGAACCCTAAACGTTCCTATCACCGCATCCTGAGGTGTGGCTACACAACTCTCTCACTAAAATTATGTATTTGATTCATAATTTTTTTTTTTAAAAAAAAAGGAGTAAAATGTAAATAAAATATAATTTATTTTATTTATATTTCACATATATTTTTTTATTTTTAAAATTTTTATCTAAATTCATGAATTAAATATACCCTAAATCTATTTCAGTTCTCACAAAAAAGTAACGAGAGTTAGTGGAAAACAAGTTACTTAATAAAGTATTTATTTATAATATTAAAACTGTGTTTAAAATATAAATGAATAAAATAAAATTTCAATAATCTCTCTCTCATATGTTTTGTTTTTTACTCATTCAAATATATGATGGTGAATAAACATAATTATTATTATTTTTTCTTACCTAGATAAGAGATTATCATCATTTCTTTTCTTTTCTCACACTATTTTGTTAGGGTTACTGCTTTATTTTGTTAAGATGTCGTTTGGGAAGAGTTCATTTGGGCTCTTTTGGCTCTTTGAGCCACAAAAGACAGAATAGGCTATTTGAGCCACAACAAACAAAACATCACATCTAACCCATAATCATTACACTCTTCTCTTTCAAAAAAAGTCAAAAAAGTCAAAAAGTCAAAAAGTCATTCCCAAACCATGCTTTTGAGCCCAGGCTCAAATAGCTAAAAAGGCCAAAAAGTCAACCCACTTCCCAAACAGAGGCTTACTTATTTATATTTTTTTGATAAATCACATTGGCATATTTTGATATTTGAAAAAAATACTAAGTCTAACAATTATGGCATAATTACACTGATATCATTGTTAGTAAGATAAAAGAAATTATAACTAATTCAAACAATATGAATATACAAAAATAAATAAGTAAAAAACATATTTCTATATAAAAAATATAACATTATTTTTCTATCAATATGATTAATAAATTATTGATAAAAAATAATTAAGCGTTTTATAAAAACTAATATAATAATTTTAAAATTATAAATCTTGTTATTTTTTTCCTCAAGGGAACTTGATTGGAAATTAAAATGTAGTTTGATATTTTTTTCAAATTTTATGTGGGTTAGTATAATTTTTTACTTTTTTCTGAGTAAAGTAAGACCATATTTCCTCTAGTAATATTTGGATTTGATTGTGAGTCCATAGATTTATTTTTGTAATTTAAATTGTCGATGTTCAAGTCTTGTTGGGTAATATAATGAGAATGCATTTATTCTTAAAAATTGAACCGTAAATATAATTTAATCGGTATGATTATGGATATTCAATTAATATAATATAATTATATGATTATTTTGTTATTGTTTAAGTCTGTCAATGTGAATATTACTGCACACTTCATTCTATTATTATTAGAGATATTTTGATAATTATGTCACATATATTACTTATTGAAATATAATGGGTAAATTACAAATATACCTCTTAAGGTTTGCTTAAAATACGAATTACCCCTATGGTTTAGAAAATTACAAATACTTCTCTGTCAGAATTTTTTATTTAACAAAATTAATTGAAAAAGTAAAATTTTCAACTATTCACCTATACCATAATAACATTATCTGAATCATTAATTGAAATAAAATTTTAACATTATTAATAAAATGACCTATTTGTTATAAAATTAGAAACATTATGGAGCATAATGTAATTTCTAGAACCACAAAGGATAATTTGTAATTTAAATAAATCTCAAAAAATGTGTTTGTAATTTATCCAAATATAAAAATCTAATTTGAACTGAGAATTGTTTTGGAAAGATAAAAATAAGCACCTTTTTGGCTTATTTACAAATTTATTTAAAAAATGCTAAATAAACATTTTTTTTTATAGTTTTTTTAAAAATTATTAGAATATGGTGTCATATCATTTGTAAGATTATAAATTTTTCATAGGGTTGTTTTGGCAACGGGTCAAAAAAAAATCAAAAGACAATTTTTAATTTATGTTTAATCACATTACCTCTCACATAAAACAGTAAAAAAATATTATAAAAAATTAAAAAATTAACTTTTAACCATTTTCTTAAAACATCTCATATTATCTTCATGTATTTTTGTGAAATTACCATTTCCAAAAGACATACGCGAGACTATTTTCATAATTTTACTTGTTCTAACTTCTCAAATAAATATTTTGTACAAATAAGTTTTCTTTTGACTTTTTTGAAATAATATTTTAAAGTTTTCAATACACAAGTTAATGAAAAAAGATTTATGAATAGATGTCTCATTTTAATTTCAAAAAAAATTAAATCATTTACAAAATTTATTAAACTTTTATAACTACAAAAAATTTGGTTCCCTTATTTATGAAAAAATTTGATAAAAATATAAAATAAAATAAAAAATCAACAAAAATTCATTCA